CGAAACCGACCAAGTTGTGGTAACACGGTTTGTCTGCGTCTATTTGAGAAGAAAATACATTCTTTAAAACATAAACACATTGTAGAAACTAGATATAGGCCTAGATATTAGATATAGTATAGGCTGTTTTTAGCCTTCAGCCTTTATATAACCATATGAACTAATTTATATACAATATTCTGCCCATATGAACAAATTTTTATAGGCTACAATATTCTGCCCATATGAACACATTCATTTTAGACCATAACTGAACCAATTTCTGTAGGCTATATATACAATATTCTGCCCATACGAACGAATGTATATACAATATTTATAACCATATGTGATTTAATGAAAAGCAGTGAACATACACATTGTTTCACATTCTTTAATAACAGACTCATAAAGACAATCACATAATAGGCTAAAGCTCACTTCACAGCTTCCCCAGCGGAAGGAGTTCGCTTCTGCTGCAGTATTCGCGGTAAAATGTAACACGTTGCGGCGGTGCTTCGGCCTCCGACAGACATGTGTGATTGGTTCTTCCATGATGAGTGATTCTGAGCGAATCCCCATGTGATACATCAAAATGAGTATTTGAAAGATAACTGTAGCTACTAGCATGCTGCGGGTGAGGGTACTGTAGCTGACTAGTGGTGGCTATTTAGCAGCCTGATGGCCTGGGGGTAGAAGCTCTTGGCCAGTTTTTGCCATGATGCTCCTGTACTGTCCGCGTCTTAGTGATGGAAGCGGGGAGATTGCTGTACCAGGCTGTGAAGTTTGGGAACCCCTGCTGTAGAACACTGTGTGGGCCCTCCGGGACAGGCCAAATTTCTTCAACATCCTGAGGATGAAGAGTCGCTGTTGTGCCTTCTTCACCACGGTGTGTGTCTGTGTGGTTTGACCATTTCAGCTGCTAGGAGATGTGTACGCCGATGAACTTTAATTTTTGGACCGTCTCCATGGCAGCCCCGTTGATGAGAATAGAGTTCCAGTCTGGTTCATTCTGAAGTCCACAATCAGCTCCTTTGTTTTGCTGACGTTGAGGGAGAGGTTGTTTACCTTGATTGGTGGCTCGCGGCAATAATCTGAAAGAATATGTTTTGTTTTCCTCAGTCAGCTGAATTCATAGAACCATGGTTACGTGAATAACATTAGCTGATGCGACAAACTGAGCGGTTAAAGCGGTTTATAGGTCTGGAACCAACAGGAACCTGAACAGTCTATGACTTGGGTGGCTGGAGTCTTTGACAATTTTTTGGGCCTTCCTCTGACACCGCCTAGTGACTCTATGCACACACACTGAACACTACCCACACACTCACACATACTTACGCTGACACCCCAACACACATATACACACCCCAACACACACATACACTTTTTTGTACTAACTCTCCTGCACTGACTCTATCCACACACGTACACTGACACCCCAACACACACATAAAACGTACACACATGCATACTGACGCCACACACACACAAACACACAAACACTCTCAGACTTTCACACTCACCACATACGCTGCTACTGTCTATTATCTATCCTGTTGCCTAGTCACTTTACCCCTACCTACAGTTGAAGTCGGAAGTTTATATACACTTAGGTTGGAATCATTAAAACTCGTTTTCCAACAACTCCACAAATGTCTTGTTAACAAACTATAGTTTTGGCAAGTCGGTTAGGACATCTACTTTGTGTATGACAAAAGTAATTTTTCCAACAATTGTTTACAGACAGATTATTTCACTCACAATTCATTGTATCACAATTCCAGTGGGTCAGAAGTTTACATACACTAAGTTGACTGTGCTTTTAAACAGCTTGGAAAATTCCAGAAAATGATGTCATGGCTTTAGAAGCTTCTGATAGGCCGAATTGCTGCAAATAAACCACTACTAAAGGACACCAATAAGAAGAAGAGACTTGCTTGGGCCAAGAAACACGAGCAATGGACATTAGACCAGTGGAAATGTGTCCTTTGAGATTTGAGATTTCTGGTTCAAACCGCTGTGGCTTTGTGAGACGCGGTGTGGGTGAACGGATGATCTCCGCATGTTTATTTCCCACCATAAAGCATAGAGGAGGAGGTGTTATGGTGTGGGGGTGCTTTGCTGGTGACACTGTCTGTGATTTATTTAGGATTCAAGGCACACTTAACCAGCATGGCTACCACAGCATTCTGCAGCGATACGCCATCCCATCTGGTTTGGGCTTAGTGGGACTATCATTTGTTTTTCAACAGGACAATGACCCAACACACCTCTAGGCTCTGTAAGGGCTATTTTACCAAGAAGGAGAGTGATGGAGTGCTGCATCAGATGACCTGGCCTCCACAATCTCCCGACCTCAACCAAACTGAGATGGTTTGGGATGAGTCGGACTGCAGAGTGAAGGAAAAGCAGCCAACAAGTGCTCAGCATATGTGGGAACTCCTTCAAGACTGTTGGAAAAGCATTCCAGGTGAAGCTGGTTGAGAGAATGCCAAGAGTGTGCAAAGCTGTCAAAGAG